ATGTGCGCCGCTTCGAAGTGGAAACTGTGGCTCTTCAATCTCAAACATTAGCGAGAATGCCAGGAATTCAATTGTGTGGAGGCATTGGGAAACCTGCAACCTGCGTGTGACTTGACCGGCCGGGTCGCATCGCAGCTGCCCCGTGGAGCGTGCGCGCTGTCACGGGCGGAACGCGTCCAGGTACGCTCCGGCGGGTGAAGACGCGAGGGTCAAATGTGTTGCTCCGAGAACGAGCTGACCTCATTCGTCTTGTTGATTATGATCTGTCATCTGCGAGAGCACAACAAAGGATACAATCACGGTTATTCAGGGAGCGCTCTGCGGAAAAGACGCACGAAAACAAACCGCACGTTGCGCCAAACCTTTTCACCTCATGGAGGAATATTACAGATTGACAGAAACACCTATTAATTAAATATTTATGTTTTATTCGAGAGCAATCCGACGTGTATTTATTGTATTATTTTTATTGTTAGATTTAACCACTAATGCGTCATTTATTTTTTAAGCTGATTAAAATGCGCCTGATTTATTTTTATGGATTCATATTTGTTTCTCTTAAGGAATAACTCACATTACTGTCATTTTCTAAATGTTCCCGCCAACTAAATCAGACAGACATGCATGCCAACAGCCAGTTTCTACAAAGGAGAGTCTGTTTCCTACTGAAAAGTGAAATGGCCTGAAAGGAATAAGTTCGATGCTGAAATATCAGAAAAACACTCCTAAATACTACTAATAATTTAAAAATTAATGTAATAATTGTCATGTTTTGATATTAAATATTTTAAATACCCAAGCTACAGTAGTCCCATATATCTCTTTTTTCATGAAAGGAACCAGGTCCAGGCTGAGGCTCAGGACCAGTCTGAAGCGGGCCCGTGTCGCCATGAGCCTCGGCCGTCCTTATCTGTCTCAGCTCCGAGACATCCTGTATGCAGGCCCATTGTTCCCTCCGCCGGGCTCAACGGAGCAAACGCACACCTGCCGGCTGCACACACACATTTACAAACAGCAAATATCATTCTGTATATTTGTGGCATTCATAGAGAAGATTTTTGGAAGGAAAAAAATAAATTAGAAAAATAAATGAGTGCGTGCGTAACCGCGCACACGGCCTAGAGGCAGGATAATGTGGTTCACACATCTCCACCAACACAGGACTAAAGCAGATAAAACATACAAATAAATCTATCATGTCGACATGTATATGTAGGTCTGTAAGCTACTATAATAATTAATAAGCCTGTATGGGTATTAAAATGTAATATTATGCAACTAAACAACGTGAACTTATTTTTATCTTTAAAAAAAAAAAAAGAGAGAATAAAAGCAGTCGTATTGAGTGCTGCATTTCATTTCCTAACAGGGAGAGAAAAGCCAGTAAATGTGTGTGTAGTTTATGTAAAGGTTAGTTACACTCGTCGGAACATTATTTCTGGTAAAACTCTTGTATTTATTATTTCTGGGAGCGTGTTTGGAACACACTCGCCTTTCAAACGCGCCCTTATCTCCGGACTGTTTACAAAACATTAATGTGAGGAAGCTGAGAACGTACACAGCTACATCTCAGAGGATGGATGGATGGAGTGATGGATGGATGGATGGATGGATGGAGGAGGGAGCCACCGTTAGCTGCTGCTAGCCTCCGAGCTCAGGGCTTCTTCATCCTGTGTCTCTGCAGATTGACGCTGTAAGCATGAGGCAAAGCAGCGTGTTTGATTTCACTGATGCCGACAGTTTAACCAGAGCAGAAGACGCCTTGTTGACACTGAGCTCAGCTATTGATCCCGCAGCACAGACTTCCACTTTCATCCGCGCATACTGGCTTCATGCACAGCCTGTGATGACCTGAGGATGAACTCTCACTGCATCGAATATTTAATAATGCAAATAAAGGAGAAAAACCCCGTGAAAACCAGTTTTTAATTTGCTTGTCTGCGCCAAGTCAGACCACAAATACACACTATTGGACTTCATTACCGATAAATAACCAGCGGGGGGAAAAAACGCGAGACTTCGTGAAGTTTCATGAACAACAAGAGTCGCTAACTTTTTATTTTTGCTTAAATTGTTCATTATTTACTTTTTTGTTTCATAAAACAACTTAAATTAAACGACGAAAAAATAATTTGTTTATGCAAAAGTGGGTCAATAAAACTGCAGACAATATGATTCTCACACACACACACACACACACACACACACACACACACACACACACACACACACACACACACAAATAATTTGCTTCCGCCTTGTGGTAAAATTTGTAATTTTCTTCATATATTATTTATACTTTTTGATTTTTTTCTTTCTGTTTTGTTGCGCTCTTCACTTGACTTGAACTTGACTCGTTAGAACTAATTGGGTTAAATACAGTGAGCCTGTCACACAAGCATCCCTCTGCTGATTGTAGTTTTACTGCACTATAATTATCCAGTCTTTACTCATATTTTGTCTTTTCTGTAGCAACAGACGCGCTGGTTTGAAATGAAAAAGCGACGCTCACGCAAACAGAATGAATATTCCACTGATGCGGGTTTCATTCTTTGCGGCACAAAACACACGCAGAGGGCGTGTTTTGTTTTTGTTCTTTGCTTTTTGGTGCAGTCGGATGATGCGCCTGTGTTTGACAGGGAGAGAGGTGAATGTGTGAACGCACCTCCTGTTGGGACGCACTGGGTTCTACTGGGTTCTACTGGGTCCTACTGGGTTATACTGGGTGATACTGGGCCTGTCATCTTGAAGGGGCGAGCCCACAACTTCATCTACAATCTGCTTTTAGGAGTTAGGAAGTAATATTAGGTCAGCTTTTTAAACTATAATTCAATATTAGCTGTGATGTGTTGAACCACCTATTTTATTATTATTATTATTATTTCATTGATACACGCCTTCAGTAAAAAGCTTCCACACATCGGGATAATATAATAGTGCTAATAGGAGGGAGGAGGTGTGTTCAGTTTATCATGTAGCTGGTCCTCAGGGGAACCGGGTGGTCCTCCAAGGCTCACTACAGTCTTCCAGTTCAACGACAACAACAGCAAAAAGGACGAGATGCCTGCATGAAGATTTTATCCTCCATAAAAGATGTAAAGCAGGTTACCTTTGGTCGACTGTTTTCTGTTTTGGTTTTTTTTCTTGCGTAAAAATGATGATTCTGTGGCTTTGCATTGCATTTCTCAACACACTTCCTCACTTTGTTCACTTTACTTCCTAAATAAATTCGTCGTTGTTGGAAGCCCCTACATCTGCAGCTAAAGAAGAAAAACACACAAAGCCGGTAGTAGTAGTAGTAGTAGTAGTAGTAGTAGTAGTAGTAGTAGTGGTAGTAGTAGTAGTAGTGGTAGTAGTAGTAGTAGTAGTAGTAGTAGTACTATTAGTAGTAGTAGTGGTAGTGCTGCTGCTGTTATCCAGAGAAGAACTATAAAACACAACATCTCTTTCTTACACTCCAGTTCACGGTCACATATCCGCGTATTTGAGAAAACTCCGTGCTTCATTTGTATTTTCGGGTTTAATTTTCTAAATAAAAGAGTAAACTCATGACGAGCCTTCAGGTAACGCGGCTTTGCACGGGTCCATTTAGGAAATATTAAAAAGAAAAAGAAAATAACATACATACTGTATGGCTTTAGTGGGAATAAATTAGTTTAGAATTGTGCGTAATACATATATTTAGAGCACTTGTGAAATAAATGCCCAAACACACTTCCCATCGACTGATAAGACACAAATTGTCAAATGAAAATTCTTGTTATTAATATTATTATGACTGAAAGTACTCGCTGTTAAGAAGTTCTGTTTTGTCTGATAACTTTTGTTAAACGAATAAATAATTTTAATAAATACGCAGATGAATAATAGCAATTTATTTTTATTTTTCTAAAAAGACAAATTGTGTGTGAATATAAGCCATTTTTACCACCTAACTCTGCACCACGGCTTCCCTTATATTACTACTATTATTTTTAAAATAAATTATAAAACACACTGGATCGTTTCTGTTGCCTTTTCCCTCCACAGTCCTGCTATTTGCTTGTCCAGCTCCAACAGTGGTTACCCTCACAGCCTAAAGCGTGACACAGATTACTTCATGACCGCTGTAATATTTTAAGAAATACAAGTTTATTAAGAAATTCACAAACCTAGAAAAGAGGGGAAAGTGCTAATTAAAATGAAACATGGCCCCAACATGAATGAGACATGGCTAATCACATTTATAAAAAAAAATAATAATTAGAAAGATTAACAAAACCTGGCACTGGCTGGCGTCATATTGGAATTTACATCATACATACATGTGTGATCAAGAAATATGAAAAGCCCTGAATTGTATTTTTGGCAGTCCACACTTTTTTTTTCTTTTTTCTTTTTTTTTTTAAACCTAACAACCTTCCCAACCCCTGGCAGGAGGTGAAGCTTCACCGTGCAGGCCTTTGCTCAGCGTCTGCTACTCAGAAGGCCAAAATGAGCTCTGATTTAATTACATATTAAAGCACTTTCTTAATTAGGGCATCTGATGTCCACATTTCATTCGGCAACGCTTTGGACAAGCCGTGCGTAAAAGTGGAGAGAAATAATTACGCATACCAAAAGTACAGCTGGAGCAATGTCAGCAATGTCTATCCCCTTGAAAATGAGACGTTTTTCCATTTCACAATTATGACTACAATACCGAGTTCTGGCCATCAGTCCAAGTGTAATACAGGCGCACGAAATGGCTCCCAGAGGTTGTGCTACCTGATGCGTACTGACGACTTCTTTACCTCCCGTTTCCATTTTGTAAAACCTTCTCAACACCAGCTCGCCAGTATCTCTCCATCGGTATTTATGAATGTCAGCTGGACCCAAACAGCTCGTCAGAATGGTCTCTTCAAAATACTGCTGGTTCTGTTTTGAAATCACAGGAATTCACTCTCAGTCTTCTTTTTTTTTTTTTGATTTTGTTTTTTGTTTTGTTTTGTTGTTTGTTTACACAGACCGCTTGGTAAACTTTAAATATCAATCCTCGTGTGTAACGCCGAGTGTTTGGTCTCGTGTTCCCAGTAAGAGCAGTGCATCATGGAGAGCTCCGCGGGCTGGCGGGAGCACGCGAACTGGAGGCCCGCTCCGTTACTGGAGGAGACCGGGGGCGGCGCCGCGGTGGCCGGGCTCAGCTGCTGAGCATGGTGCGGGTGCGCTGGATGGTGATGGTGACTCATGCCGTTGTAAGAGTTCACCATGCTGGGCAGCGCCATGCTCTGCACGCGGGAGTAGGGGTTGTAGGACGAGGGCGCAGACAGTCCCTTCACGTTCACCGGGCTCACGTTGCCGCTGGCCATCTGACAGGACGTGTAGGACATGGGAGTGGGCGGCTGGCCTAGCGACCACGAGTTGTTCATGAAGCTAGACTGCAGGTACTTGGGCGGGGAGAGGTAGCCGTAGCCGTCCCCTCCGAACAAAGCCTTCCCCGGCTGGAAGTGCGTCGGTGGAGGTCTGAAAGGCCGCTTCATCCTGCGGCGTCTCCTGTAGTTCCCCTTCTCAAACATGTCCTCACAGGCCGGGTCGAGTGTCCAGTAATTCCCTTTCCTCTCCCCGCCGCCCTCCCGGGGAACCTTGATGAAGCACTCGTTGAGGCTCAGGTTGTGTCTGATGCTGTTCTGCCAGCCTTTCTTGTTTTTCTCATAGAAGGGAAACTTGCTGATGATGTACTGGTATATACCGGACAGAGTGAGGCGCTTCTCGGAGCTCTCCCGGATCGCCATGGCAATGAGAGCCACATAGGAGTACGGCGGTTTCTGGGACGGGTCCGGCTTCTCCGACACTTTGTCCTGGACCGGCTCCTCTTTTGGTCGCTCTTTCTCCTTCGTCGTGTTGGTGTCATGGATCATTAAGGCCATTGCGTCATCCTCCGGGCTTTGGTAAGCGGCCATCATCGCGCACACCAAAACAAAACAAGTCCAGAACAAACGCCGAACAGCAAAAACTTTTCGGCCGCTCGTGTCTCGCCTGTTGCAGAACCGCAGGTTCGCCGCGCGTTCAAAGCTGCTCTCCAAACTGCGCACAGAGCTGTCTTAATTTGCGGCTCGGTAGGTGACATGCACCGGACTTTCTTCTCTCTTCAACTGGGATTTTTCGAAACTGGTTTCTGATCAAGTTGTGGTTTGAGAGTCGGTAAGCCCAACCCTTCTAGTTTTTTTCAAGGCCACTGACAGGCTGCTTTTGCTCCAATGCTCTGTGCGCAGCGACGTAGTGCTGTGTGATTTGTGCGTATTTGAGTTCCGCCTCTGGTGGTACAGTCAATGAACTAAACATGTTGAAATTTGTGTTCATCAAAATAGGACAATATAGACATTAGACAGCCGTTTGCATCCAGGTAGCAGAAAACAAAACTCCAGCGCTGGAAAACTTTGGACACGAATGCGCAATGACGCAAATAAGCACAAAGAATGAATAATATTAGACATTAAATTTAGTTGCATTAAAGGCTATTGACATATTTTGCTGTCTTTCTTTTTTTCTTTTTTCTTTTTGCTTAGAGAGAAAGCAAGTTTATCAGAAAAAAGGGAAGAAAGAAATGATATTTTCATGCACAACACAGCAGCCTAAAAATAAAATATTTCGGAAAATTTAATTTATTTTTGCGTTTTCGTATCTTTAAATGTGTTTCATGCAATTATGAAACGTGAACAAGTTCAGACAAAAAGTTTCACACAAATATTTTCAACAAAATTCATTAAATCGAACTCTAGCCAAAAATATTTGACTGAGCTCTGCAAAATGAACTCTCACATCCTCACCAGACTCTAAGAGAAACTCTGACTGGCTTTGTGCTGGTTAATTAGCTCACATCGGAGAGGGAAGTGCACGGAGAGAGGTATTCATTTCTCTGGCCACCCATGAGGGTCCCCTCGGCTTTCTCTGGAAGTGTATTTCCGTGCTGTGCTCTGGGAGCCTGTGCAGGTGGAGCAGCATTGCCATGTGTGTCATCACCCTGCACCCAGCGCGCAGCCTGGCCGCAGCAGCTGAGCCGCGCCGAGAGCCAAGCGTCAGTCAGCGCGCAATTAGCGCAGAGTCACAGTTACGGCGCGATGTTGTTCCTTGTCCTTGTGTCTGTTTCACGTGTTTAAGACGGAGAGAATTTCTAGATAATCTCAACAGCACCCTTGTGCCTTTGCTTTTTAGGTTTCTGGCTTGTTTGAAACATGACATCATTCAGTGTGTTAATTAAAACATCCATCAAAGCATCTAAATGCACGAATCAATCTGCACGTCATGAAAGTGATAGCAGTTACTCTGCACAAATAATAATAATAATACAAACAGTGTCTTCCAGAAATGATGCTTATAACAGACAGGATTATATATTTGTAATGTGTTTCATTAATCCTGCTAGTCTGGAGCAGCAGTGGGGATTAAATGCATTGGACCTGGTGCTGAGTCCATAAAACACGCAGAGTGGTTTGTACGTTTGTGGAAATAAAGCAGAAACTGCAGCACACTCATCCGTCCTTGCCTGCTACGTGTTTAGGTTTACCTTCTGATTTGGGGGCTTGTTTAGTCTTCTTTTAACGTTCCAGGGAAAGTCTGTGGTCTTCTCCTCTTCCCTGGTGCTGCACCGAAACAAAACACAAGTAGGAACCACTCAGCTCCTAGTTCAGGGAAGACCTTCCAGAGGTTCAACTGGTCGTTTTTTCCAGACCGGTGGGGTGTTTGGTTAAATAAAAACCGTTCAAAGAAACATCCAAAATTTTGATTTTCTTTTTTTCAAAAAAATAAAGTGCATTTAATCTTCAATTAAATACATGCACCGCAATCAATACAGCAGTTCTTTATTTTCTCTGAAGCCTCATTTCTTATACTATTTTTTATTTTGCAAAGAGCCATTTCAAAGCCTCCCCCTCAGGCTGACCTGCTTTTAGGCTAAAATGCTAAAAACCTACGATGCAACCACAGAGTGAACATGCCAACTGAAACACAGCCCTGTGCGTTTGTTTTCCATGTTTTAGTTTATCTTTCTAACACGTTAAATATTTTAAATAAATTGGAAAAACACCTCTGATATTAGCTGTCGCTTCACAACTTTGCTAATTAGCCTGATGCTCGTATCACCTGGATGACGTCATTTTGAGCCTCACCTCATAGGTCAGCTACTTGGACGGTGAATATTTTTCTCTCTATTTTTACTCACATCTGACTGTGTCCCTCCGGGTTCAAGTTGTTGCTTTTAAGTCTGTATTTTTATTTTTTATTTTATTTTATTTTTTTGTCGCCTTTATTTTTCTACCTGCAACCTTCGCGGGGTCGAGCCGCCCCGTGCACGCGCCTCGTGTCACAATCCGTAAACACAACAAGGAGCTGAAACCGGACCTGGCTTCATTCAGGGAGGCGCAGAGGAATGTGATGGTATAGGCTGTTTTCTTGGGCAGCTTTGATAAACTACAGAAAAGAAGCAGATTATAAATAAGCCTTAAATTGTCAGAAATATATAAAAATAAAAATAAAAATAAATAAAAGAAGAAGGTGCGACTGAAATGCCTGCTGCTCGGTAAGCCAACAACTCCCTCTGTGTGATTTGGGAAAACTGGAAAAGAGCTCAGAGCCACAGAAAAACTTCTTATTCCTTCAATGTGAGCAAATTCAGCGCGTTTTTCCAGCTGTTGGTTAATATTTAGATTTTATTCATTAATAGCAGATCACCTGTGCGCACCGGTGTGAACCAACTGTCCACGCTGCTGGAGCGGCTGGAAGGAGGCTTTCTGGCCTGCGTGCATGTGCCGGACGGCGGCGCGCACGGCAGCGAGCATCACAGACAGAGAAGAGTCCGTGTTTTGGTCTTAGATAAATATACATCCTCCGAAAGTCTTCTCAAGTTATCGCTTGATCCCAAACACCTCTTGGATAAACGGTCCAATAAAAAGATCCGAGCCGCCGGCCCACACACACACACACACACACACACACACACACACACACACACGCACACACACACACACGCACACACACACACTCCACGACTGCTGAAACATTCATTTAAATTCAGGTGAAATGTAGGCCAGACTATAATATCTGAGAGTTCACCTCCATGACTTTGAGGTGGGAAATTAACATTATCCAGGAAATAATAAATATCCAATAATTGTCTGTGTAGCTTCTGATTCTCTCGTTAACATCTCACTGCACTCAAATATATAAAATTAGACCATCCAAGCATTTTAATATGATTCGTCCCACATACATGTATAAGTTATTTCACGCAGATAGCTCCGCTGCTGTTACGGGCTGTGCAGGCCTCCACTAAACGGGACTTCAGCGGATCTTCATGCAGCTCCAAAGAATCCAGAAGAATTCCTGCTCTCGCGCACATCCTGCCCTCGCGCGTCTCCGACTAGGATGTTTATGAATGCGCGTGCGGGTGGAATGCGGCGAACCAAAGCACCGGATCACACCGGGACCGGAGCACGACCGGCCGGCCGGACGGACCGGACGGGCTGCAGGCACACATTCAGGAAACCTGGACCTGTTATTATTATTATTATTATTATTATTATTATTATAGCTGATAACCAAGGCATTAATGGCTTTTTATATAATAATTAGGTTATGACATCTAAATCACATCTGCATATTTTTATATAAATAGAAATAAATGTGGATAATACCAACATTTTTTTATTATTATCATTATTAGTAATTGTAATAAATGAGCAAAAAATTAAGCTATGTAATCAAGATCATAACTGTGATCATTACATCATATGCATCTAATACCAATTTTTGTAATGATTACTATTGCTACCACCATCTCCTCTACTCTTACTATTTCTACTCCCACTACTACTAATATGAATAATAGTCGCAGCTGCAGCAGTCAGAGCAGTAGTTGTAGGAGTTTTTCATTCAACACTTAGTTAATTATTTATGATATAATTGTGATTTAAAATTCCCAACTTTTCTGTTCATCACAAATAAATTTAGCACTTTTTTACGAGGGAACCTTAATATCACAAAGACACACCGTTGTGTATTTACACACACACCCTCTGACAGAGCTGCATGTTTTTAGCATTTGCATAACAACTGACAACACTTATCTTGTTCTGTAACGGGAGTTATATCTCCTAAGTGGGAGCGTTTAATATCCTGAATTAGCAAAAGCTGATTGTGGATCATGAGGTGAATTTAAAAGCCAATAAATGATTTAAATTAACAGCAGAGTTAAGCAGCAGCCTGTTGGGAAGTTTTGTAATCACATAATGGTGCCGGGAGAAAAAGGTGAAGCACAGTTAACTGTATCTGGGTGAATGTGTCATACGTAAGTGCAATATAATATGATGCAGTGTCTCATCTTAAATCAGATCCCTGTGATCCGTAAGCATTAGAGCATCTGCTCTGGACGGGCCGCGAGGAGACACATCTCTCACAGTCTGTCCTGGTTTGATTTCACTGGCTTGCTCTCTGGTTCATTTGCATCTGGCTCGCCTCCACGATTAAACATCAACAACACATTGCCGCTCTTCAATGGAATCCTTATGAGGTGCAGGAAAGAGATTGGGGTGGGTGGGGGGAGGTCTGGTGGAGGGAGAGAGCGAGGAGGTGAAGAGGAAGGAGAAGGATGTACCCTCAGCCCTCATGCAGTGTCTCCAACATGGCTGTGGTTCCTCTCAGAAAGAAGAGAGTGAGGCAGAGCAAATAAACACTGACCACCAGATCTCCTCTGCATCCCCGCCCGCATGGATTAAGGTTAAGGGAGGGATGTCGAGGGGATGTGCACACATGGTGTCACTTTTGAGGTGTCTATATGCTTTTGTTCCCATGAGGGGGAAAAAAAAAAGGTCTTATTAAGGGGGACGCTCAGCCGGTGGTGTGTGAGGGACACTTCCTCACTTTGTACAGTCCATCCCGTCGCCTTCAAACGTTCAGATCATTGTGTGAG